CGGGGAGCAGCCACTGGCGGTGAACGATACTCTCTGCTTTCTATTTATTTATTTTGGGGGGAGGTTGGGGGAGTCAGACAAAAAAAAAAAAAAAAAAAGAAAAAAAAACAGGGGCAATGTTTACAAGACGGGTGGACAAGTGTAAATATGGAACGAGAGCAAACAGTTCTAATTAATTCCTTCTTCTGCAGTGTGGAAACCTATTACAATGCCCTTGAGTCAAGCACTGAGATACGTTACCCAATTAAGGAAATAAATTTGTTAATAAAATTGCTGAGGTCACCAGTGATTATTGGTGCGCCTTACTACCCTTTCTGTTTGTTTATTCTGATCACACTGTATGGTCGTTCCAATTTATGAGCGACTAGAGTATACAGCAAGAGCAGGGCACCGATTTCCCGCAGTCCTTCAGGGAACTCGGTGGAAATGGTGGCCAATAAAATATTTGCATGTATTTGCAAGGCAGACACCAGCATTGAGAAGGCGTCCTTTCCTTAGAACCTAGTACAATGCAAGATTAAGTCATTTTTGGATTCTCATGGACAACGACCATCAACTTTTCGGAATTCATAGTCATAATAGAAGAAAAAGACTGGCTGAGATAATTAAAAATGTTTGTTCGATGCTGGACTACACTGTACGGATTTCGGAGCAGGTGAACGTCCCCAATTCTGTGTGGCCGAGGTAATGATGTAATTAATTTGCATGCTCTGTGCCCGGGGTGGCAGAGCTGAGTCGAAGCATGTTGGGTAGCAAAAGGGAATCAGCCTAAAAACGAGATCTTTGCTAATGACAACACGGAGCCCTAAATGCTGCTTTTTCCAGGTCACGTCCTTGCTTAAAACTCTGGTATCACATGAACCCAGTCCAGGACGCCCTGGCTTAGCTTCTCGTCCTCAGGGTCTCGTGTTGTGGGACGGCTCACCCACCTCGCTAACTACACCTTGGCCATTCTCTGTGGGTCAGGCTCTAGTTCCGGCCATGTGACGGCCCCTCTCTCTGCTCTTCTGTTATCTCATGGTGCCCTTCACTTACCAGGCCCTCCTCCTCTTCTCCGAATTGCTCAGGGCCCAGCCTGAGTTCCCATCTCCTCCTGAAGAGGTCCCTGATAAAAGTGCAGCTTGGGGCCAGGTTGTGTCGTAGGCGTCATGCAACTGGCCCCACCTGGGAAACGCCCTGCGCTCCCGTCCCGGGGCCTCCCTGAGCACGCCAGGTGTGCGAGTGTGCCCATGAGCTGGGCTGGCCGAGACTGGGGCATGAGGTGCAGCATCAGGACCCTGCTGGGCATGCCTAGCTATCTGTCTCTCTCACATGAAAATAAATAAATAAATAAACAGTTTTTTAAAGTGTAGTTTGTTGGGCTAGCCCCACAGCCTAGTGGTTAAGGGAGCCAGATCTCACATGGCCAACCACATGGCTCCCATCTCTGGCAGCTTGAGAAACTCATCAGGCAAATGTATGTGCATGCCCAAAATACCAATGGGTGGAGAAATGGAGGAGAAGGGATTATCCTGTGTCCTGAGACCACATCCCGTGGGGGAGCTTTCTCCCCCTTTCTCTCTCTCTCTCTCTCTCTCTCTCTCTCTCTCGCACGCATGTGCGCGCGCGCAAGTGCAGGTATCCTATGGCAAATGAAAAAAACAAAAAGTGCAGTTTGTTCTAAAACAGAGATTAAGTTGATTGCTGACTTTAGAATGTTCTTGCTGGACAATGGTAATAGATTTAGAAGGGTCTAGAAACGGCTGAGCTTGCTCCACTGATTCAAATCTGGGAGAGGAAGAAGAGAATAAAACTATGGGAAGAATAGAAGATGCTGGGGCCTGTATGTTTTGATCGTCAATCTGAGTTTACTTGAAAATGGCAAAAGGAGCGAGGGAGCCCTGAATCCCCTGGCAGTCGGCTCAGTGTCTACTGAGCAGCTCTTCCATGCTGGTCTCTTGGCTCACGCTGAGGAAGATGCAGCTCTTGGGGAGGGGGGCTTAGATTCTAGTTGAGGAGGCAAGAATAACATACATGAAGGGAAAACAAACCACACAAAACAGTACCCCACGAGGCAGAAGATTATCTGTGGGGTGCAGATAACCAACCCTGCCATTTTCAGCAGCAGAGGTTTGCTGAGAGCAGTCATCGTGGAAACTTTGGGGGGAGGAGAACCTCATCTGGGTCCTGAAGGGCGAGAGTAGCAGAGATGGGGCAGGGGATCAGTGACCTTCAGAAGGAGGTGGGGAGGGGTAGAAAGTGGAAGTCCAGCATGCCCGTGAGTCTGTGGACAGACCGACACATTCCAAATGGGCTGTTTGTGCTTGGGAGTAGCAGAAATGAAGAGTAGAGAGATGGAATGAGCCCAGATGGTGGAGACACTTGAAAATCTGGCCAAGCAGCTCACTCGTTTGTTTATGATCTCATTATTCTATCCTTCCTTCCATCCATCCACCAAATATTTACAGAGTGCCTGGTACATACGGCACAGTGCTAGGGCCTAAACAGGAAACAAAGGAGTGGGAGGATCACGATGTTATTGATGAGAACCTCAGGATTTAACAGGAAGGCTGAGACTCCCATGTGTAAACATGACTGGTGCTTCAACAGGGGATGGGAATGCTATCCAGGAGGCAGGGAGTACTGTAGGGTGACTGCCATGGGGGGTGATTACAAAGGTAGTGTTCAAAGTAAGCCTTGAAAGCGAGGTAAGTCTGAAAGGCGATGAAGAGGGACGAGTGTTCCAGGAAAAGGACTGATAAGCATGGGGATGGGGAGTCCAGTGCTCTGCCCAGGGGGCTGCAAATGGGCTTGGTTGGCCACAGGAGTTGATGAACAGGGAACCAAGAGAGATGACAATGAAAATGGAGAAACTCCGAATATGAGAACGAGCGAGGACCTCCAACCCTTCTACCTCTACTGCTCCTTCTTGCCCAGAAGACCATAAGAGCCTCTTGGCCAGCTTCCTTTACCCAAACTTGGGAACTCTTTTCTTTTCTTTTTTTTTTTTGGAGAGGTTTTTGCTATAGGGCGTGTGCACTCGCCAGAAAGACAGAGAAAGACAGACAGAAAGCGAGAAATCACCCCCCAGGGTGGATGGCCATGCTGCAATCCCTTCTCCTCCATTCTCCTCTCGGGATCTTGGGTATGCACGCACATGCGCCCGGCGTGAGTTTAAGCCACCGGGTCTGGGACTCGAACCACCGCCATCACGCCAACTCCCGGTCCCCTCTCTTCTTTTTTGAAATTTAGAAACATACAGGTCATCATCAGAGTTAGACTAGCTGATATAACAAACAGTCCCCAGCATCAGTAGAGTAACATCACAATCCAGTGTGGTCAGCAGCAGGCCTCTGCTCCACACAGTCACCAGGGAACCAGGCTCCTCCATCATGTGACATCACTTTCAAATACCATCACAAGGCTGCTGTTAATGGGCGGAAGTTGGACAGCAGGGAGATGCCATATTCGCCTCCCACGGACAAGAACTAGCCACGTGGCTCTACCCAGATGCCAACAGGCTGCCATGTAATTTAACTGTGTGCCTGGAAAGGGGAAATGGCTTTGATAGGAACCTAGGCAGTCTCTACCCTAATTCCTCCATAGGTCAAACTGGCACTGGCTTAAGGAGGGAGAAACAGAAACAGAGAGGGCGAGTGCAGAGCACACGGAGCCTGCAGGACCTGCTGGCAGGTGCGCCTCGGTTTCCTCATCTGTCCTGCTAGTGCACAACAGTCTCTCCGTATTTACAAACATCACTAGCCCTCTCTAACCCGGCCCTCAAGGCGGGTGACGTGGAAGAACAAACACAGATCGCTACCCTATCAGCGGAGCAGCCGCTCCTGGCCTGACTGCTCTTCCTCTTCCTCCACCACTGCCAGAGAACAGGGCAGCCGGGGAGACAGTCATCCCTCCACCCCCACCTCTGTCCCTCCAGTGTCCCCTGTGTGATGAAAGAGGAGGCTAAAGAGTGGAATGTTATTACAGCTTTTCCATAATGCAATGTCATCAGGAAGCCCTGGGCCTCTGGGCAGCACCCTGGCAGCCCCATCACTCTTCCCAGCTGCGCGGAGCTTTTAGACCACGCAGGAAAGGGCAGGCGCAGTCTAATAAAACAAATGGCGAGGCAAGACCACTCATCAGCAGCTCTTCAAAATGATCTAGACTTCGGACTTTTGATTTAAATCTGCATCCTCTGTGGCCAACAACATAAAACAGAAGAGGAGGGGAAGAACTGAAATGAGAGCGTGGGTGCCAAGGATCGGGGGCGGGGGAGGAAGCCGCGCTGGGACCGCACCGCTGAGCGCTGAGCGCGCGCCAGGCAGGCTGACTTGCAGCCAGGTTCAGGGCCTTTTCATTATGCACTTCTCGGAGCTGCTCCCTTCTGTTACTAAGTTGCCCTGGGATGGACGGGAAGCTTGAGAGCTCAGCCAAGAAAACCAATCTGGAGACCTCCCTGCTCCTGCTTTGCCCTCAGCCCTCTAAGACAGTATTATCGGGGGCTGGGTGCGGGTGGGGAGAGGTGGGCCAGGATAGCGGGGTCTCTGTTCTAATTCCTTTCTTGTCAGATTCACTTACTCCACAAGGATTTCATGAGAGACCGCTGACACCAAGCCTTGCTGCCAAACGGTGACTAGTGCCTTGAGGCTAATGGCAAGAGGGACAGGGCTACCATTTTAGATGGGGTCTGGAGGGCCTCTCTAAGGTGACATCAGTACAGAGCAGAGGGGCAGGGAAGCAGACCCCGGGGGCCAGCAAGCAACACGTCTCCGTGGGGCTGAGGGGCTTTGGGCAATTCGCCCTGCATGGAGGCCCTCTCCAAGCCTATCCCAGCACACCTCAAACACTGACATGCCTTTATTCACTTATGAGGACACGAGCCTCCAGCCTCAGCCTCCCGAGCAGCTGGCACTACAGGCGTGCCAGCCTCTTTCTGAGACAGGGTCTCATCATGGTGCCCGGGCCAGCCTCGTGCTCACAGTCCTCCTGACTCGGCCTCCCAAGTCACTGGGATTTCGGGCATATAGCCAAGCACAGTTCTTGCGTGTTTTGTTTTGTTTTGTTTTGTTTTGTTTTGTTTTTTTACCCTCACCTCCAGGGGCCGGGTGGTGGCTCAGCAGTGAAACAGTCTGAGGCTGACGCACGTGGGAAGGTTCTGGGCTCATGTCAAGAGACCTCCCTGGGCACACAGCGGAGCACCAGTGCCCATGATCTGGGGCTGGCCGAGGTGGGTGGACAGGGGCTCACGGCCCGGAGGGGTGCTGTCCCTCTGCACTTCTTTTGTATCTCCTTCTCTCCCTCTCACTCCTTTTCTTTTTGCTCCCCTTCTCTCTCTCATGAGAGAAAAATCCTTACTCCAGATGAGGCAGCAGTGTTGCCGGTGAGACCCTTCCGGGCCCCTCGACCCGGCAGCAGTAAGCGACCGACGGCGCTGGTGTGAGTCCAGGCCCACGTCTCTGGGTAATATATCTGGGTACCGCGGCCAATCATGTCCTCCAGTTGAATAAGTTGAAAGAAGAAAAATCAGGCAATCGGGCCCCACGATGAAGCTAAGTATTTAATTTCTTTTTAATGTTTACATTATTAACACCGGCATTACAAAACGATATTTTTACTTTCAAGAGATTTAAATGTGCAATTCGGTGTCTCGATTACTGGGATCATTATAACCTGAAAAACTGAAGCAGTGCTCCCTCCCTCCTCTCTCCTCCCCTGATGCTGCCTGTTTCTATAAAGAGGCATCAGGGCTCCATAAAGCCCACATACCCATTCCAAATGGCGCGGGAGGTGCAGCCCCGGTGGGGGTTTCAATGAGCTGCATTCAGTGTGGAGTGAGTGACGGCCAGCAGGTGGGTGTTCAACTGGTCATCAACTCCCCGAGAGGCTGGCACCACCGAGCTGCATTCCAGGCAGTGCCTATTAAAGTGCCCAGAACGCCGCTGGGTGATTGACAAGCCAGCGAGAGCCCAGACACTGGCTCAAACCACCCACAGGCACAGGGAGAGAAAAGGGGGGGCCTAGGTGGAACAAGGCTGGAGAGGACCCCGGAGCCCCTCGGAAAATGACTGATAAGAGCTGCTACAATCTGTTGGCCTACTCTGTGTCATCAGAGTGGCCACGCACTATCACGTGTACATAAGCACACCAGATATGTGGCTTACGATGACGCCATGGCCAGGAGGTTTAAAAAGGCACCCTAGTAGAGTGGGTAAGAGCACAAGCTCGGGAGCCATGAAGCCTGGGTTCAAGTCCCAGCTCTGCAACTTAGCAGCTGGTGTCCTTGGAAGTATTCTCACTTTGCCTGCGTTTCCACCTCTGTTAAAAATGGGGGCAGTGGTGGTACTTATCTCTGAGGCCACTGTGAGGGCTAAAAGAGTCAACACGTATAAGGCATTAGAACAGTGCCTGGGGACCAGCAGTTAGCATAATGGCTATGTCGCTGGACTCCCACGTAGTTGACTGCAGTTCGAGTCCCAGACCCGGTGGCTTAAACTCACGCCGGGCGCATGTGTGTGCATGCCCAAGATCCCGAGAGGAGAATGGAGGAGAAGGGACTGCAGCATGACCATCCCCTCTGGGGGGTGATTTCTCGCTTTCTGTCTCTCTGTGTCTCTCTGTCTGTCTGGCGAGTGCACGTGCCCTATAGCAAAAAACCTCTCCAAAAAAAAAAGTGCCTGACACACAGTAAGCACTCAGTAGATTTATCATTATAATTCTCATTTTCAAAAGAAGAAACAAACTGAGAGCAATTTACCTTTTTTTTGGGGGGGGGAGGAGGTTTTTTGCTATAGGGCATGTGCGCTCGCCAGACAGGCAGAGAGAGACAAAGAGACAGAAAGCGAGAAATCACCCCCAGGGGGATGGCCATACCGCAATCCCTTCTCCTCCATTCTCCTCTCGAGATCTTGGGCACGCACACACACACACACATGCCCAGCATAAGCTTAAGCCACCAGGTCCGGGACTCGAACCACAGTCGACCACATGGGATTCCAGCGACAAAGCCATTACGCCATCTGCTGGTCCCAAACTGAAAGCAATTTATAAACCAACCCAAGGGAGCCAGCAGGTTAAGGTACTGTATTCCCACATGGTCAAACACAATTTGAGTCCCCAAGATGGTGGCTTGAAGATCATGCCAGGTGCATGTGCAAGAGGAGACAGGAGGAGACAGGACTGTGACATGGCCTTCCCTCCAGGGGGTGAATTTTCACTTTTCCTCTCAACATTTCCCTCTCTCTCTCTTTCTCCAGCAAGTGTTCATGCCCTACGGCAAAAACCTAAAAAACAAAACGCACCCAAGGCTGGCTTCTCAGAAGGCCTTTGCTGCCATTCTGTTTGGAAGCCTCTCTTGTTCGCCTTCCTGGGACTGTCTCCCCAGGTGACTCCAGTCTTCATCCAACACAAGTCCCCTGGGGACAGCCTCCAGACCACTCGGCCCACCCTCCCAACCACTGTGGACCCAGCCCCCCATCCTGGTCTCTCCCTGGACGAACCACATCTGAAATGATCTGCTTGTTCACAGCGAGAATGGGCTGATCTCTGCAGCGCTGCTCTTACATGGTCACTGAACGCTTGCCTGGCTGTTGTGTCTGCCCAAGCTTCAGTGAGAAGCCCACAGGAACAAGGCCCTTTCCTAAACTGTCTACAACAAGAAGGCGCCCGTGCCCAGCCCCATGGTATGTGACCTGTGTAGTTGCCCAGAGACCAGAACTCAGAAGGGCCGCGTACTTGGTTTAATGCTCTGCTGTTACAGTCTTGAAATCCTTACGTTTTTTTTTCTTTTTTTTGAGGGGGAGAGATTTTCGTTATAGGGCGCATGTGCTCGCCACAAAGACAGAAACAGACAGAGAGACAGAAAATGAGAAATCACCCCCCAGGGGGGATGGCCACACTACAATCCCTTCTCCTCCATTCTCCTCTCGGGATCTTGGGCACGCACAAGCACCCGGCATGAGTTTAAGCCACCGGGTCTGGTACTTGAACCGCAGTCAACTACATGGGAGTCCAGCGACATAGCCATTACGCTAACTGCTGGTCCGGTTAGTTTTTTTTTTTAATAGGGCACCTCACATTTTCATTTTGTCCTGGGCCCCAGAAAATTATAAGGACAGTCCTAGACGAATGAATGCGCAAGCTCACATTCCAACCCAGGTCACATTCCAAAGCCTCATTACTCACCAACCACCAGGCCAAACAGGCCTCAGGGCGGGGGAAGAGAGGTGGGCAGGGCCGTCTGAACTAGGGATGGCCACAACCGGACCCAGAAGAGGACGGTGTGCAGGGAAGGAAGCATCTGTCTGAGTCTCTGCTGCCCACCCAGCCATTCTCCTCAACCTGCCACTGAACTTGCACTTGGGCTGAGGGAAAGCCATTTGCTGCCACCTGATGCTACTCCTCCTGCTGCCGAAGACCGCGGGCTGTTGGTCCCTGCCTCACAGCCAGGTGCTCTTCAAAGCCACAGCTGTGGTCAGGTCTCAGGCAGAATTACAAAGCCTTGAGCACCCAGCACAGCCCTGGGCGCCCAGAGCTTAATACTGTGGGAACGACACACAATCCTTGCCCTTTGGGCTCAGTGGCTGTAAACAGAGCTAAGGTGAGGATGGAGCAGGGAGGTGCACGGGGCCTGACCCTAGAGGAGTCAGTCAGGAAAGCCCGTGGGCACCTGCTCTTCCGTCCCTGCGAATTCATTTACCTCAGGGGGGCCTTCCACGCCCGAGGCCCTGGAGGGTCACCTCCAGTCGGTCTCTACTCCTACCACCTTTAGAACAGGGTCAGCAGGTGGTGTCGTGGTTGGCGCACCGGACTCTCACATGGCTGACTGCCGTTTGAGCCCCAGACCCGGTGGCTTGAAACTTGCACTGGGCGCATGTGCGTGTATGCCCAAAATCCCAAGAGGAGAAGGGAGGAGAAGAGACTATGGCAGGGCCAGCCCTCCAGTGGGTGATTTCTTACTCTATCTCTGTCTCTCCAGTGAGCTTACACACCCTAGAGCAAAAATCTCTCTCTTTTAAGAAAAAAAAAAAAAAAAAGCTGTTCCTGACTAAACCCCCTCTGATCCTTCCTCCAAGTAAACGCCTTCCCCTCGCTCCTGCCCCAGGCCTGCTTCTTTCTGCCTGAGAAGCCATGCCTGATCTCTCTCCCTACTCCCTGAACAGCTGGGAGTCATATTTCTTTTCCCAAATGCCCTAGCATTGTCTCTTGTACTTTGTTAAGGCTCTGTCAAGCCCAACGTTGTGTCTCGGTGTGTCTTAGTACTCCCTCCTAACTTGACAGTCAACACCTCGAAAGCAGGATTCTCCTGGATTCACCTCTACGACGTAGGGAGGCAAGAAGAGGTTTGAGGGAAGCAAATATCGCACATGTGGGTGGCCCGGCTACATGCAAGACCGGGAAGATGCAGAGGCAGGCAGGCTGAGGCTTTCCTTCTTTCTTTTTTGAGAGATTTTTAATATAGGGCGTGTGCACTGGCCAGAGAGACAGAAAGCGAGAAATCATCCCCCGGGGGGATCGCCACACCACAATCCCTTCTCCTGACACTTCTCAGGATTTGGGGGATGCACGCACATGTGCCCGGTGTGAGTTTTAAGACACCGGGTCCAGGACTCAGATCACAGTCAACTACACAGGAGTCCGGTGATGTGACGGTTACATCATCTGCTGGTCCCAGCTGGGGCTTTCTTAAGGAAAACCTGGATGGGAGGCAACCTTCTGAAAAGTCATTCCACACGGTGAGGTAGCGAGAAATGGTTAAGAGAAAACCTGGTGAAAGAAAATACTTGAAAATCATATATGTGATATCCAGAATACACAGAGAACTCTTAAACTTTAATAACGAAGCACCTAATTCAAAAATGGGTCAGGGACCTGAGTAGCTACTTCACCGAAGAAGATATGTTGGGTTGTCAAAAAAGTCATAATTTTTTTCTGTTTTTCTATGCAAAAACGTGTCATGACTTTTTCAACAACCCAACACGAATGGCCAATAAACATACGAAAAGATGCTCAAAATATTGCTAATCATTACAAAAATGCAAATCGAAGCTACAATTATACACTACCTCAAACCCATTAGGATGGCTACTATCAAAAAAGGCAGAAAATCATAGATGTTGGCAATGATACTGAGAAAGCAGAACCCTTGTGCACTGTTGGTGGGAATGTAAAACGGTAAAGCTGCTTGGAAGACAGTATGGCGGGTCTTCAAAGAATTCAAATCGAATCATATGATCCAGAATTACACTGAAAAAACTAAATGCAGGGTCTCAAAGAGATATTTGTACACGCATGTTTACAGCAGTATTAGCCACCACAGTTAAAACTTGGAAGCAATCCAAGTGCCCATCAGCAGATGAATGGATAAGAAAAATGTGGTACACAATGGAATATTATTCAGCCTTGAAGAGGAAGGAAATCCTGACCTTTGTTACACGACCCGGATGAACTCTGAGGATATCACTATGCTAAGAACAGTCAGTCAGTCATGCACACACACACACACACACACACACACACACACACTGCCTGATTCTACCTATATGAGGTATCTGAAGTAGTCAAAATCAGAGACACTAAATAGAACGCTGTTGCCAGGGACTGTGGGAGTAGAGATTGGGAAGTTACTGTAGAGCAGCACAAGGGTTCAGTTTTACAAGGTAAGACACACGGAGGCAGATGGTCCGATGGCTGCACATCATGCATGTATTCGATACCACTAAATTGCACATTTAAAAATAGTCAAGATGGGGGCCATCCAATGGTAGTTAAGGCAGCTGGACCCCACAGGGCCAACCCCAGGTGAGTATAGGACCCAGGACGGCAGCTTGGAAACAGGCTGAGCGCGTGAGGGCATACCCCAAATCCTGAAAGGTGGGAAAGGTAGAGGGATTGTGGTATGACTGTGCCCCGTGGGGGATGCTGTCTCGCTTTCTCTCTCTCTCTCTCTCTCTCCCCCTTTCTCCCCTCCAGCAAGCCCAAGTTCCCCCTGGGCAAATTAAAGAAAGAAAGGTTAATATGGTAAATTTTATGTTATGTGTACTTCACCACAATAAAAATGTAATAAAACTATAAAAACCATCCACACAAATTTTTCCAGGCTGAATCAACCTAGCTGACATTGCTAAGGCTAGAAAACCTATGCCTCCCAAGAGAAAGTGCCTGGCTTGTGTAGGGGAGAGAAAAGATACTAATTAGGGACTGCGGGAGAGGGACAGTAACTGGACAACGTTAAAGAAGGAATTTGGCAGAGTACCAAGTAGAAGCGACAGGTACAGGGGCTGTGAGGAGAAAGAGGGGTAGGGAGCGTGAACGACGTGTGCGTGCTACAAGATTAAGTTCAAACACATCTTCATCCAATAACCACCTGTATTTACATGCAAATATATTCGTTTATGCAAAATAGCAGAGGTCTCCTAGGAGGGATTTTTAGTCTCAAGCTCGTGCAGTCATTGAAAAAAGGAAGCAAAGCTGTCCCTGGGGTACTCCACGTCAGCGATGCCCCTGGGAGCTGAGCCGGTTCTAGGACGGAGACCGAATTAGCTCGGTTTGCAGAATTAGCTTGGCTTGCAGAGACAGGCGAGCAGCGCCCCTACCCGGAGAACCACCGGGCGCGTGCGTGGTCGCACAAGCTCAGCCCTCCCCGCCGCCCACGGCCTCGCAGGCGCGAGCCTTAGTGCGCAAGCGCCAGCTGTCCGCGCCGACTCCTCCCCTTGGGGCGGGGACAGGCCAGCCGCTACCGGCGATTTCTTAAGCTCTGTGAGGAATGGCCCGTGGACGAGACCAAACGGGGACGGGACTTGGGCACTTACCTGCGGCAGCGGGTAGCACAGGCCTTTCGGGAGGGAGAAAACACCCAGGTGACCGGCGTGGGGGCGGTTGGGGTGAGGGAGGAAAGGACGAAGCAGGGGCGGGGCCGGCGAGCGGGCTAGCGGCGGGCCTGCGCATGCGCGCGCCTTCCTTCCAGACGCACGTGCGTGTGGACCGCGTTATACCTGGAGGAGCTGCAGAGCGACGGCCGCTGCAGCTTAGTTCTCTCGCTCTGCGGAACCCTGGAATTACCGGGGAAGCGTTCTAAGAATCCAGGTTCCTGGGATCTGAGCTCACCCTTGGGGATCTCAATCTCTGGGGGTTAGGTCGTGAACTCAGTTTTTTTTTTTCCCCTAGATTTTTTGCCATAGAGCACCTGAGCTCCCCAGAGAGAGAGAGAGGGAAAGTGAGAAATCATCCCCCCGGCGGAACGCCCACGCAGCGATCCCTTTATTTCATTCTCTGCTGGGGTTTTGTATACAAGGGCTCAGCGTGTTTTTCAAGCCGCTAGGTCCGGGACTCGAATGTGAGAGTCAGCCATGTGGGATCCCACTCCTTAACCATCAGGCCACCTGCCAGACCTCAGCATGGTTAAAAGCTCTGGGTGCAAGCAGTGTTGAAACCCACATCACCGGCCTCTGACTTGTTGCTGTCACACACAGCACAGTGTTGTCCATCCCTCAAAGCACTGGATTTCTTCTCGGACCTCTGTAGGCTTGAGCGCTAGGTCCTCAACTCATGGCCCCTCCTGGAAATTGTTCTCTTCCAGATTGGAATTCATTCATTCATATAGTGCATATTTATCGAGCACTTGCCATGGGCTAGGAACTTAGATAAGTGCTAGGGAGACAATGAACAGGAAGAACTTTTACATTTCTGGTTGAGGACACAGTAAACAGACATGTATGTGACAGTCCTGGTTAATATTGTGATGATGTTAGATAGGGTAGCATGATAGAGGGGTAGCATTAGTTTTGGTATTAGAGTTAGGCCTTTCTGAGGAAGTGACACAGTTGAGACCAAAGGGAGGCGGTAAACCAACAATGTGCACTTGATGGGGGGGGGGGGCATTTCAGGTACTGCAAAAGTCCTGCGGCAAGCAGATGGGTTTATTAGAGAATACAAGGCCAGAGTGGCTGGGGGAGGGAGTTCGCAGGACCAGCAGATGGTGTAATGGTTACATTGCTGGACTCCCACGTAGTCAACCACGGTTCAAGTCCCGGGCCCAGTGACCTGAACTCAGGCTGGGCGCATGTGCATACATGCCCAAGATCTCAAGAGGAGAACGGAGGAGAAGGGATTGGGTGTGGCCATCCCCCCTGAGGGATGATTTCTTGCTTTCTGTCTCTCTGTGTCTCTCCAGCAAGCACATGCACCCTATAGCAAAAATCTCTCTTAAAAACAAAACAAAACAAAAGATGGAATTTGCTGAGTTGAGATCAAAAGATGCCAGGAGCCAGGCACATTGTGGTCTTAAATATTCTTATCAGGAGTTGTGTCTTAAAAGGCCAGTGAGAAGCCATTGGGGATGTTTAGTCAGGGGACTGATGTGACTGTCTTTCCTCTTTTTTTAAGAGAGACATTTGCTACAGGCCTGTGTGCTTTCTGGACAGAGACTGAAAGTTAGAAATCACTCCTCAGGGGGGGATGGCCACACCACAATCCCTTCTCCTCCATCCTCCTCTGGGGATTTTTGGGTACATGCTCTTGGTGTGAATTTTAAGCTGCCAGATCCAGGACTCCGCTCCCAATTATGTGGGAGTCCAGCTACATAACCGTTACACTATCTGCTGCTTCCCTGGCTTTCCATTTGTAAAAAGACCACCCAGGGGCCAGCAGGTGGCATGGTAGTTAAGGCACTCAACTTTCACATGGCCAACTGTGGTTTGAGTTCAGACCTGGGAGCTCGGCCACCCCCTTGGGGGGTGAAACTTGGCCAAACCTTGAGAGCAGCAGATGGTGTAATGGTAATTTCGTTGGACTCTCACATAGTTGACCATGGTTCAAGTCCTGGATCCGATAGCTTAAAACTCATGCTGGGTGCATGTGTCTGCATGCCCAAAATCCAGAGAGAATGGAAGCAAAGAGATTGCAGTGTGGCCATCCCCGTGGGAGGTGATTTCTCTCTTTCTGTCTCTCTTTCTTTCCAGAGAGCACATGTGCCATATAGCAAAAATCTCTTCAAAGAGAAAAAGAAAGAAACTTGGCCACACCTATCAAAGCAGGAGCCTGGCTTTTTGCAGCTCAGCCCAACACAGAGTCAAACCAGCCCACCTAATGGAGCAAGAGCATACCCAGTGACGGAATTGTGACTGGACTACTGATTGGGTGGTAGCATGGATGGGGCAGTTGGCCCAGGACTTCAGGGTGGGGCAAGTAAGCTGTGCTCCACTTAGGACCCTCACACCTCTTACGGTGGTCTCCACTAGGCCGGAGATCCAGTCCTTACTCTGAAAACTCCATAGGCTCTAGGGCTGTGTCCCTGCATATCTTTAGCATGAGCTTCCTTATAATAGGGATGATGCCATTTTTACCCCCACCCCACCCCCAATGCCCAGCATAGTTCTTACACGTAAAAACCACTCAGTAGATGTCTGTGTAAATAAACAAATGATTGGTTATGGCTCATGAGACAAAAGTCATTTGAATATAGTTGCAGCTGTAGCAAAACTAGATGGAGAGAGAGAGAGTGAAGAGTGAGATGGGAATTTTTTTTTAAGGTTTTGCCATAGGGTGTGTGTGCTCACTGGAGAGAGGCAGAGACGGAGAAGAAAAGTGAAATTCCCCCCAAGGGGGGATGGTCATGGCACAGTCCCTTCTCCTCTAGGGATTTTGGACATGCACACACACACACACCCCATGTGATTTTCAAGCTGCCCAGTCCAGGACTTGAACTGTAGTCGGCTATCCAGCACCTTAGCTACCACCCCACATGCTCACTCATAGACAGGAGTATTTCTGTGTCCTTAGTGGTGAGAATTGATTTGCGAGTTTGCCGTGTTTGAGGACCTATGAAGAGGGACAGAACCGGGGTGAGCCCCTTACCACCAAAAAGCTTACGATTGGGGCATCAGGCTAGGTCTTTGGGCAGGCAAGAGAGTGTGACATTCCCTACTTGACTGTTACTGTAAGAGGAGTCAACAGAGGAGGGTAGAGCTTTCTCTTTCGGAGTTTTCACCCTTCGTCATCACCTAGGGAGACGGTTCCCGAGCAGTGGAAGGCCCACACAGGCTTGAGTCACAGCTGCAGGTGCCAGTCATGACTCAGCTGATGGCTCAGTAGCAGCCGATGCGTGCATTCCTGGTAGAGCGAACCAGTGCATCTCGGCGACAGCAGGCTCTTGCCTCAGGACCACTGTGTGGTACCTCATCGCGATGTCACCTGAGAGTGAGCCCGGGCTTAGTAGATCTTTGTGATTGTTTTTAGAGGGGGCAGCCCCTTGTTGGAATTGAGAACAGCACTGTGAGTCTCTCCCCCTGACACCCCCAAGTCGTTTATAGACTCCTTGAGAAGGAAAGGTGGTTCTGGTAGACTTCATTAAACTGGCAGCAGGGGGAGGGGACAGACCCTAGTGGCTGGTTGGTTTGGAGCTGCACAGGGCGTGCCAGTTGCCAGCAGGGACTGGAGGGGGGGAGCTCTGCTCACGCATCCTTTCTGTCCCTGTGGAGGGATGAGGCAGTTAGTCCTCCTCTTGGTGTCTTGGCTTCCACGTCCTCAGGATAACCCGGCATGGCGCACAGAACACGTCTGCGTGTCTGGTCTCACTCAGTCCCTCGTGCAGCTGAGTAATGTAGCCATGGCTATTCTCATTCTACAGATGAGGAGACAATATCAGAAAAAACAAAAGAACTTACTCTGGGTCCCCTACCAGTAAGGGACAAAACAGAAGCAGAGCCAGTTGTCCAGCCTATTCTGACGTCACCTTGGTGCTCGGCCTTTCCTTCTCAGTCGTTCCTTAGAACAGTCTCTGTTCCATGACCATTAAGCCACTCCCTTCCCCTTGTTCCCTGCTCAAACCTTTCTGGACCATGAATTGTTTTGTAAAGAATTAAATATCTCCCTGTGTTACACCTGCCTGCTTTGCCTCGCCCACTACTACCTCCCAGCATGGGTGGGGAGAAAGATGGCCCTCAGTGGACACAGTGGAAAAGCCAGCCTCATTAGAGGGCAGATAATAATTCAGACTTCAACCAGAGTACAAAACCACTGCCTCCATTTATTCCACCTCAAATTGCCCTGTGGGGAGTCTTATGGTCCACCCTAACCCACCAAGAGGGATGGTGGTGGTGGGAGGCAGGAACACGTGTAACACCCCTTACATCCTGCAGCCTATTGTGCAGTGTTGGAAAATTAATGTTTATGGGTTTTGCCCCCTTCGAATACAGGTTCCCTGAGAGAACACACGCTCCCCGCAGCGCTGAGAGTTTAATAAAAGAATCACAACATGGGGGAAGGTGACAAAACAACTCTAATTGTTGACTTCACCGCAGGGAAAGGAGCAAATCCTTTTCCTGAGTTCATGAGGTGCACACGTAGTTTCCTAAAAGACCCCTGACTACACGCCGGCACCCACTTGCCAAGCATGGGGTGCAGTTCTGAGGGGCGATGATCAGGAATGCTGCTGCCCAGGAAGGGGCTCCCCCATCAGCAGGTTCTTAAAATTGCATTGCATCCAGGTTTACTGGCCCAGTTTGAAAGAAGTTAAACTTTGTCTTGGATTTCTCAATGTAACATAAATGGTATCTCCACCCTCTCAGAGGAGAATTCAGAGCTTTTACGTAATCTTGTTTTCTCAGTCATCCGAGTGAGGCCTGGTCTTTAGCATTCCTCGATGTGGCAGGGAGGCAGCTTCCCAACTGCCTGGCAGGTGCCTGCCCTAGGGAAGCCAGCTCAAGACACTCACCCCCATACGTGGGCTCCCAGCGTCAAGTTTTTGAGGACCATCCTAAAAACAGGTTATGCTATTTTTAGTAATAATATTGAACTCCAAAACGGGTTGTGAGACGAGGGAATGCCAACACCGTCTTTTTTTTTCTCTCCCACACTGAGT